CCTATCAGATACCTAATTAGTATAGGCAATAACTTGCAGAAAATCTATAATTGCGAAAACGTTAAGAGCAAAGCTGTTCCTAAATATGCTTTTGCTCAAAGTTATTGGGCAGCATGATTAGCAACCATTTCGCACTTAACACATTGAATTACAGATTCGAGCTAAAACTGAGCTGAGCCAAGACATAAACGATGTGATCAGCTGGCACCCTACTGCGAAAGCAGAAATTGGGAGCTGATATCTCATACGTCATAGCCACCAAAAGGTTAACGAGCGATGATTTAACTGCGAAACTACAGAAGTTTAGAAAGGATCTGCTCATTGTCAACTCTGAAAGGCTTATTCATAGCGACGAAGTGAGCTTACATTTGATTTTTCTGAAAAGTGTTGGGACGTGCTCGTCGTCGAATGGCAATGTTCCACAAAGTAACGCGTAAAGTATGACACCACAAGACCAAACGTCAACTTCAGGACCGGCGTAAAGCCTGTAAACATTTCAACTTCGTCTACACAGTTTAGCTGTGATTTTCCAAGAAGACAAAGAAGGGCAAATGAAAAACTTATAGTCCTCTGTGAAAAAAATTCTTAACTTGTACTTGCCACTTAACACAAAAACTCACTAATGGCCTTTCACAGTACCAACGTATAAAGAGTTAGAACATTGAATCTTTGTGAGAATCAACTTCCTTGGCGTATAGTAAGAACTGTGAAAATTAACCTTCTCAAATTTGGAAAAAGAATCTCCCAGGTAAAATCCCACTTTAAGACCGGAAAGAAATGGTCTATTTTTTACGAACAACAAGCTACTATCGAAGAAAAGCATTTCTTGTGACATACATTAGGAGATCGTTGAAACTGATAGGATAAACCTACTTGCCACTGATCACTTCAGGAGCGGCATAGTTCGGCGAGCCGCAACTAGTCCTAAGAAAATCGCCATCGGTCATGATGTTTGACAAGCCTCAAAGTTGAAGGTTTAGGAAAATACTTGTGAAATGGCCAAAAAGATACCGAAATCGGCTATTTTCACGTTATTATGCTCATCCAATAAAAGATTTTCAGGTTTCAAATCTCTGTGAACGACCATATGCCTATGGCAGTAATCCACACCAGATATGATTTGTTGAAAGAATCGACGAGCCTCAGGAGTCTTCAGCTAAAAATAGCAAAATAAGTCATATTTTAAAGATGAAAATGGGGTCAGAGAGGACCTCTCAACGTTTAATAGTAAAAAAATTCAATAAAATCCCCAGCCAAAGATTTAGTCTGTGGTATACATAGAAGGTGGGTCAAAATAAATAAACTCACGCGACCATGTTTAACAATGTAATCAAAAAGTTCACCACCAGAAACATATTCCATTATCATGAAAATATCAGTTGGAGTGCTGATCACTTGATAACTAAAAGAATCACATTCTTTTAAAGTCTGGAACGATAGTGAAACAAAAAACTTCTAGACCTTAGTCGAAAATAATAAAAACAAAATGAAACTTACAGCCGAATTATGTGCGGATGTCGAAATAATGAAAGATTTTGAATTTCTCTTCTAATCTTTCCTACTACATCCAATGTCTTGATTTTCTGACGATTCAAAATCTTCACAGCCACTTTGTATCCCGTTGCTTCATGAATCCCAACTGAACATATTTTAGCTTGGACTCAAATAACCATGCGATTGCGAAAGATCATTTTTAAGATTATAGGGTGCGCAAAAGCAAATTCCAAGCTAAGGAAAACAGCAGGTTTGGAACAACAACAAGGCTTTTAATTTTTCAAAAAAAATATGTACATGAAAGTTCAATGCAGTTCGCATAAATAAAAAATCTTCAGAAAATGTGATATTAAGATACTGATATCAGGTTTTCAAAATAAGTAACAAAGAAGTCGTATGACAAAGTTGTAAATCAGAAAAGACAAATTGCTAGAGATCTTCAAGACATACCTTTAACTTTGCCAAATGTACCGACTCCAAGCGTGTCTTTAAGAACATAATGCCCAATTTTTATTTGAGGTTTTAATTCTGGAGCTTTCATAACATCAGATGTTGGGGTAGACATGCTGATGAATTGATTATCGCCTCCTCGATCTTTCGCTCTTTCTTTCCTGTAATATAAACCACTTAACAATACATTTAGATTGATTTGGGAGTTTTCTAGGATGAAAAAAAGAATTTTTAAAATAACGTCCAACAAACGTTGCAGTGCTTCACCTCTTCAGCAAGTCTCAAATATGAATGTTATCTACGATTGCTAGATCTAGGAACTCACTGATAATGAGGCGAACCCTACGTTTTCGGCACAATGGTAAAATAAAATCATTGTAGGAGGTAACAATTGCGATAATTGGACCTTATCTAGCTTGTCTCGTGCACTTGCAGAGATATTAATCCTAAACTGCTTGAAGAATGAGTGCGGGGAAATCGATAAAGTGCTGATGAGCGGGAGAAAGAAAATACCGCGCGACAATAAAATATCATACGCTCGCTGCTTGGTAAAAAGCGACCTCGATTCGGCGCGTGTACGTTCCTCGTTGGGTTCTGCAGACGGCAAGTTTAACCTTGCTGGACGCAAAAAGCCTGCACATTCGCTCGTGTACAGTACTTTACAATTTCGTGCGTTTCTATCTAAAACACTTCAGAACGCTCTTTCCCGGTAGAAGAACGAATTCATGTGTTAGGAGGAGACCTGGTTGGGTGTAGGGTAGAAGGCGACAAAATCCGGGAAACGCTCGTAGAAAAATGACGCATTTTGC